GTAGGGTGGGGGGCGGGAGGGGAGGGATTGGGATCAGAAAGGGGGGTTGCAATTGTATGGGGAATATAAAAATAAAATTTATTATTTAAAAAAAATAAAAAATAAAAAAATATATATATAAATTGTATTTCAATAGTTTGCTTCTGCATGACATCCTTTGAGTTAACCAGAGTCAAAAACCTTAGACTTATCTGTGATCTTCCCTTTTCTCACCACCTATACTTGATTTATAAACAAATTCTACTGGCTCCAATTTCAAAATATATCTAAAATTTTAACACAAGATATTCTGTCAGCATTCTGGTCTGATCAATCAACCTTCCTTTCCTAGATTACTGCAAGAATCTCCTGATTTATTCTCTTTCTATTATGCTTACTGCAGTTTAGTTTATTCACATCCAGCATCTTCATTGATTCACTGAGACAGTAAGTTAGATCGCATCAGTTCAATGCCTTCCCGGTTCACTCTGAGTACAAGGCAAAATATTTCCACATCACCTACAAGCCTTTCCCCTCAACTCCGGTCTTTGGTATCTTCACTTCCTCTCTGCTTACGTTCCTCACCCTTATTCACACTGATCAAGACATTTGCCACCATGACAGTGTTCAAACTTTCCAGGGATGCTTCTACTACTTTATAGGCTTTGATTTCTAGTTCCTTCTCCCTAGAGAGCTTTTCACACAAATCCCTGCTTAACTCACTGCCCCCCTCCACCCCACTGCCTTATAGTCACTGCTCCAATCTCAATTTCTTTCTTAGGGTTATGTTCTTCACCTTATTTAGTTTTGCAAATGACCTGATCTCCATGGCCTTCCTGCATAATCCCAATTCTCTTTACCTTGTATATTTTTATTTATAATTTTATGTTTATTGCTCATTTCCTGATCCTCCACACAGAAGGTCATTTCTTCTAAGACAAGGATCTTTGTCTATGGATATACTCATGATTGAGTAAACTTGGCACATAATCCAAACTCAATGAATAGTTGCTGAATAAATGAGTGGCAGTATTTTATCTATCCCTACTTTTCTCTACTAGAACAGAAGAAAACAAAACACATAAGAGACAAGGGACTTTGTATAGGATGAACATGACAAGGATATTATCATTACAGCCTTAAAATACATAGGGGCAAGTTAACCAGCATACGTTTACTGAGAACTCAATGTGTGTTTTAAACATTTATCTAGAATTTGGATAGATACAGAAGAGACAGAAAATGGTTCTCACCTTCAAGTTAACTTCTTGGTTATATATCCTAGTTATAATTGATTAATGGAAAAGTCTGATTTTTATTAATTTTGGAAAAATTACAACTCTTTGTATGGCTTTATGACATTATTCACAAACTTAAGTGTGCATTAAAATCACCTAGAGGGCAAGTTAAAACACTGATTGCTGGGCTCTGTCATTCAGTTTCTGATTAAGCAAAGTAGGTCAGGATTGGACCAGAGAATTTGCATTTCTGACAACTGCTCAGCTGATGCCAAAATTGCTACACTGTATTTTTTTTAAATAATTAATTTTATTGTTATATTCCCCCATACAATTGCAAACCCCCCATTCTGACCCCAATCCCTCCCCTCCGATCCCCGCCCCCAAAAAGTGTCTCTGGTTCATAGTTTTTTGTTGATTTTGATTTTCACTTTCTTATAGTTATTCATTTTCCTGGTCCCTTATTTAAGTTTTCTAGATTCCTGCTATAAGTGAGACCATCCGGTATTTTTCTTTTTCATTTTGGCTTATTTCGCTGAGCATGATCCCTTCCAGCGCCATCCATGTTGCTGCAAATTGCATGTGTTTATCTTTTTTGAATGCTGAGTAATATTCATGGTATATATGTACCACATCTTCTTGAGCCAGTCATCTATTTTTGGGCATTTGGGCTGTTTCCAAAGCTTAGCTATTGTAAACAGTGCTGCTATAAACATAGGGGTGCAGGTGTTCTTTGGAATTGATGTTTCTGTGTCCTTTGGGTAAATACCTAGGAGTGGAATTGCTGGATCATATGGAAGCTCTATGTTTAGTAGGTCCAGAAATCTCCACACAGCTCTCCATAGTGGTTGGACCAGTTTGCACTCCCACCAACAGTGTAGAAGAGTTCCTTTTTCTCCACAACCTCGCCAACATTTGTTGTTGCTAGTTTTTTTAATATGTGCCATTCTCACTGGTGTAAGATGGTATCTCATGGTAGTTTTGATTTGCATTTCCCTGATTACAAGTGATGTTGAACATTTTTTCATATGCCTGTTGGCCATTTGCATTTCCTCTTCACAGAAGTTTCTTTTTAGCTCTTCTGCCCATTTTTTGACTGGATTATTGTCTTTGTTGTTGTTGTGTCTCATCAGCTCTTTGCAGATTTTTGTGATCAGTCCTTTATCATTAGTGTTGGGTGCAAAAATGTTCTCCCAGTTGGTGGGGTTTCTCTTTGTTTTTGTTATTGTCTCTTTTGCTGTGCAGAAGCTCTTTAATTTGATGTAGTCCCAGCTGTTTATCTTTGCCTTCACTATCACTGCTTTGGGTGATGTGTCTGTAAAGATGTCTTTGATATGCAAATCATGTAGTGTTTCACCTATATTTCCTTCTATGTATTTTATGGTTTCAGGTCTTATGTCTAGTTCTTTAATCCATTTTGAGTTGATTTTCATGTATGGTGTGAGGTAGTGGTCAATCTTCATTCTTTTGCATGTAGCAACCCAGTTTTCCCAGCACCATTTATTGAACAAACTTTCTTTGCTCCATTGCATAGTCTTTGCTCCTTTGTCAAAGATTAGTTGACCATAAATCTGTGGGTTTATTTCTGGATTTTCTATTCGATTCCATTGGTCTGTATGTCTGTTTTTGTTCCAATACCATGCAGTTTTGATGATTATGGCTTTGTAGTATAGTTTGAAGTCTGGGAGTGTGATGCCTCCATTTCCTTCTTTTTTTTTCAGTAGAGCTTTGGCTATTCGGGGTTTTTGGTGATTCCATATGAATTTCATCAATAATTGTTCTATTTCTTTGAAGAATGACATTGAAATTTTGATTGGAATAGTATTGAATCTGTATATTGCTTTTGGTAGGATGGCCATTTTAATAATGTTTATTCTTCCAATCCATGAGCAGGGGATGTCTTTCCATTTCTTTGTGTCTTCTTCTATTTCTTTTAACAGTGTTTTATAGTTTTCTTTGTATAGGTCCTTTACCTCTTTTGTTAGATTTATTCCCAAATATTTGATTTTTTTTTGTTTCGATACTAAAAGGGATGTATTTTTTTTATTTTTCTTCTTCAGATTTATTGTTTTTATATAGGAAGGCTACTGACTTTTGCGTGCTGATTTTGTATCCTGCCACTTTACTGAATTGATTGATGAGTTGAATTAGTTTTTCTGTGTTTTTAGGGTTCTCTATGTATATTATCATATCATCTGCAAATAGAGATAGTTTGACTTCTTCTTTTCCTATTTGGATTCCTAGTATGTCTTCCTCTTGTCTTATTGCTCTGGCTAGGACTTCCAGTATTATATTGAAAAGCAGTGGTGAGAGTGGACATCCTTGTCTTGTTCCAGATCTTAATGGAATTGCTTTCAGCTTTTCACCATTGAGAATGATACTGGCTGTTGGCTTGTCATAGATGGCCTTTATGATGTTGAGGTATGTTCCTTGTATCCCAAGAATTTCAAGGACTGTTATCATGAATGGCTGTTGCACTTTGTCAAAAGCTTTCTCAGCATCTATTGATATTATCATATGGTTTTTATATTTCTTTTTGTTGATGTGTTGGATAACGTTGATTGATTTTCGGATGTTAAACCATCCTTGTGTCCCTGGAATGAATCCTACTTGGTTGTGGTGAATTATCTTATGGATACATTGTTGGATTCTGATAGCTAAAATTTTATTGAGGATTTTTGCATCAGTGTTCATTAGGGAGATTGGCCTGTAGTTTTCCTTTTTTTGTGTTGTCCTTGTTCTGTTTTGGTATTAGTGTAATGTTGGCTTCATAGAACGTGTTTGGTATTGTCCCTTCCTTCTCAATTTTTTGGAAGAGTTTGTGAAGGATAGGCATTAATTCGTCTCTGAATCTTTGGTAGAATTCATTTGTAAATCCATCAGGCCCTGGGCTTTTGTTTTTGGGGAGGTTTTTGATTACCATTTCAATTTCGCTAATTGTAATTGGTCTGTTTAGGTGTTCTATTTCTTCTTTCTCTAGCTTTGGGTGATTGTAGAGTTGTAGGAATTTGTCCATCTCCTCTAGATTGTTGAACTTGTTTCCATACACATGGACACACACATACACATTCTCATTACCAAGTTTGTACCACTAATTTTATACATCTCTTAGTGTAGAATTCATAATCTACATTTATACCTGTCAAATTTCATCATGGTAACTTTAACTTTCATAGTCATATTTTTGTGTATCTTATTTTTTATATTAATTAACCTTTCTTGTTTCTATTTGATAACCATCTTTTCTCTCTCATCTTCCAAGTTATTGATAAAACCATTGACAGTTATATATCACTTCATAAAAGCTCTCTTTCTGCCTTGCTATGAATCCACAATCCTCCCTCTTTGGGGTTTACCAGTTGGGTACACTGTTGTGTCATATGATGATCTCTCTCCAATATCTTAGAAGAAATATCATGGAGGATTTGATAATGTGTCAAGTAAATTAAGAGTTTACTCTATGAACAACATGCAATTTGCACATTATACTACACAGTATAAACAGATAGCATCTAGTTATAAAGTTTTCCTCTTCTAAATTTTAGTTGGCAATTGTAACACCACCAGCTTGAAATAATCAATGAATGGGAATCAGCAACACATAACAATACATTAATCCAAATAATTACATTTTTAAAAAGCAAACATTTTAAAATAGTCCAAAATGTAGGAATTTTGTTTTTGAAATGAATGACCTTCCAAAATTATTTTTTAAAGTAATAAATTTGTTCTGTAGTATAGAAACAAGGATTTAAAAGAGAATAAAAAAATAAATGAACCCACCTTGATACAGAAGCTTGTGATCATTCTTTCAAAGGCAGGATAAAGATGCTTTAAAATAAAAGATATAAAATACAATCCTATATAAATATTGGGATAGTAAATTATTTACACAAAATTAAACACCATTAATTTTTTATTTGGTAAGTGCATGACTAGAATAAAAATTAATGTAAAGAAGCACTTTTGGGTTTTTGATGACATTAAATATTTTACCTTATTTTAATATTACAAATGGTGAAACATAATATTTATAAAACTTCATGGATAATCATATATATACACACATATAAATTCAGATACCTTGTTAATTTTAATATAATTTGTAAATACTATATAAATAACTAATATATCTATTAATGTCAATAATTTCCTAGACCTAAAAATGATAAGAGAAAGTACTTTGAATTTTGGGGTGTGGTATAAGTATAAATGAAATAATAGTGCATAAATACTTCAATAAATCAGAAAACATATGAAGCAAAATAGAACACATGATGGGAAAATGCTTAAGTTTACTTAAACATCAGTTCTTAACTTAAAAATCAATATGCTTCATTGAGAAAAGTTTTCATTTTAGAAACATAAAATCAGACAAAAAGAAAATATTAAGAAATAAAATTATTTCAAAATATTTTTTCAATTAAAGTTCTTAAAGCTTGTAGAACATGTTTATCATAAAAGCATATCTAATTGCTGGAGAAAAGAAAACAAGAACTACCTCGATAATGACCTTGGCCTTCCATAATCTAGCATTTCATTTGCTGAGATGCACACCATACCTCAGAGTGGAAGGGTTGTCATCCAGCTCCCTAGCAAGGAGAGAACTGGAGATATTAAGATAACAGGAAATAAACCATGATAAATTAATTACAAAGAATATGTTTCACATATTTATAGTTTGGGAAATCATTTGGACTGTTTGGAAAAGCCAAGGACATGTTTTAGATCAAATGAGCAAAAGGAACTTTTGAACCTGAAATTGTTATGAGTTCTAACATGCTATCAGCCCAAATAACAGTAACAGCCTTCTTAAATTGTGTCCCTCAATATACATGCCTGCTTACTTGTTCCCAAGGATGTGTCTCTGTCACCTGAAGAAGAGAGAAAATATTTCTGTTAACACCAAATCTCCTTCCTCTTCCTATTCTTTTGCTCAGAGCTGTCAGAGTGAGTTATGGTTACTAGTTAGAGTCGTGCTATTCTAGTAAGGGGATCGGAGGGTTGGGGCATGCAGTGGCTTTTAAATTCTGAACTCAGTAGTTTATTTATTCATGATAACTGAAATGCAAAGAACAAAGTAATAACATATGACCCTACAGCATAAAAGAGAGGGATCTTCTATTCACCATGTTTCACCTCCTTTGATGATAAAAGGTGATAAAACAGACTGTGAAGAGAGTGCTTGAATCACGCCTGTAGTGCAAACAAGAGTCTCAGTCTACCCCTTAGCAGGTATATTGTGGTGTAAATTCAGGGGCATATTACTTAGAAATAAAGTTACATTTAACAACATAGATAAATACCACAGATAGTTGAATGAGAAAATGAAGATGTTCACACTAAACATACACTATATGAGTTTATATTTATATGTGTGTGTGTGTATATATGTGTAGTTCAAGAACTGGCAAAATCACCCTGTTGTGGTAGATTGGAGAAAATGGTGGTTGCCTTAGATGTGCAGGATATGAGTTGGCAGATGAGGGAAAAGTTTGAAATGCTCTATATCTTAATATGGCTACTGATACCTGGGTGCATATATACATGTAGCAGCTCAGTCCCTGTACTTTACTAGATCATACTTTGCAAAGTATATTTTTAGAAAACAATGTATTTTTAAGAAAGGGAGAGAGCCCCATGGACTATGATGGAGGACTGTTGGTGCCCTGGGTAGGTATGGTATGATAACATACATCTAAAGAGGTGTGAATCTTTACCTCTGAATCCTATACAGTGTTGTAAACAATGACCTCTAAAAAAAGTAAAAATAATATATAAAAAAGTACAAAGTAAAAATAATAATAAAATGTGGACAATTGGATATATATCTATTGGAAAGTCGGTTTTGTTTTTTTTAGCTACTATAGCAATACTTAACTATTTAACATAACTATCTAAGACATTTTAGGTCTCATTTCTGATTCCTACTTATATCTTAACTATTGTACCTTATTTTAAATTTTATGAATACTCTGGGTTAAAACTCCAGAAACAGGGTTGAAAAATAGCCATTTATTTACAAACTAGACTAATTTTGTTAGAATACAATATACTATTTTCTGGTATTGAGGTCCTAGGAGTCATTGTCTTTTTTTATGACTGGGAAAATCCAGGCTAAGTATTGAGAAACATTGTATAGCATACTTTTTTATAATAACAGTTGGCAGGAAATTAATGGAAACATATTTGTTATAGTAGAATAATTTTAAGAATATTGTACCTAAAAATTCATCTTATAGGAAGAAACTTTTGTTAGCATGTAATGCCGTGTTGCAGATCATGAGCAAAGAGATTCAAATGGCAGCTGGAGAACTATGGAGTCTATACTGCAACTCTCTCTCATCCAGTCCCTTTGAGCTTCTGCAGAGGGAGGAAAAAATACAGAAGGCAGCATTCAACAATATGCTGACATTTTGGGAAGCCCATAGAGACATTCTGGCAAGAAAAGTAATATTTGGTTCCTTGGTTTTGCTTTCCTAGCTAGAGAAATCTTTTTTTCCTTCTTATGTTTCCAAGAAACTGAAGTGCTTGCTGAAAGTAAACAAAAATCTAATCAAGCCATAATTTCCAAATGCCACATGATGCATGTATGTTTTTGGTGATGCCTAGCTCCCCCAAATGATATAGAATTATATTATGTGATGTGTTAATCATCTCCCATCAAAATGAAACCTCTGCCTGGAAAAGTATATATGTTTCCTAAAAATAATTTCCTTAATAGACAGTCCTTTTAATGTTTAAAATCTTGTGGGAAAATATATTTAACCTTTAATTTCTTTTTCAATAAAATTTGTGTTGTAATAGGAAAAGTGAGGGAATTGGAGAGAGAATTTCATTTTGTTTTGTGTGAGAACATGCATGCATTCCTATTATAAAAGTGGGGAAAGGGATTTTGTGCATTGATAATTGGTTTAAGAGGTCCTATATTGGTGTTTAAAAAAAGTTATGGAAAAATTGTTATTTTAAGGCTGAAACTTATCCAGTATTTACAGATTAGCTACTAAGAATTTTCTTCAAAATGTCAAGGTTTCAGAATATGTGCAAGTACCCAACATATTAACCCAGGTCAAAATGATCATATAACTCTTTCCATGATAAGTATAATATGGGAATATAATGATATGGAATTTTTGTTTCCTAAAATCAGGCTCATGGAACCTAAGATCTTTGTGGGATGCCCTATTATTCTGCTGCTAGAAGGTCAAGAAATACACTGATGCCATTAAAGTATATGAAATACCCACAAACTGAGGCTGGTAAACACAGACTTTTATGGGAGTTTACTGTGATCACTTATGTAGTCTATCCCATTTACTCACAATGTTGAATGATGTATTAATGAACTATGGATTCTAAACCATCTTCTCCCATCACAATATTTAGTCTAAGCATATTCTAGAATAAGTGAAATAATCTCTCTATTTCAATGAAAACATTCTCAAATCGATTTTTAGTTAAGTAGGATTCTTAGCATTTAAAATAACTAGATATTTATATTGCTATTAAATAAATCATTTATATATTTAGATTCTCTTACATATTGTGGGTTATTTTTTCTCCACTTACTGATACTTTTATCAAATTCATGGAAGGTTTTAAAAATATATTAGCATTTCACCAGTCTTAATAGAGTTATTCAATGAATTAATAGCATCTCTTGAATATATACTTGAACAAAGTTAGAGATTGAAAGCTATTATCACTGCACACGACACCCTTCCCCCCAAACCTTTAACCCGATGTTTTCTTTAGCTTGGAGAGATATCAGGATTTAAATGGGGTTCAGCAAATATCTCACTGTGATAAAGTTTAATGACCATTAATATTAATTTTTTTTTCCATTTCAGTCACCATGCCAACATCAGTAAAGCGCTGTTTCTCCATCTACATCTGTTTGGAAAAAGATAGTGAAACTAAGAAGATAGAGAAATAACCTAATATCTTTAAAATCAGTTGTCTTCACATAATAAAAATAAAGAAAAAAAAAGCTATGATACTGTTTTTCCTCAACTAACTGCAGTTTTTGTTACATTTTCCCCACTCTCTTTGTTGAAAACTGATTGTTTCACTGTGGCAGTTAAATTAGTTTTTCCCTTTTTTTCAGTTTTAGTTCAACTACTTCACCTTAAAAACTTTTTTTGTGGAAAATGCCATCTCCAATTTGCCAAATGCAAACAAGTGTGTGTTGCTTCACAACCTGGTTTTAAGTGGGGAACTTATTATACTGAAGCTTTCTATATTCAGCGACATGCTGGTGTCATTACTAACAGTAATAACACATTCTGAATGCCACTTTGCATTTCCAGCAGATTTAATTACCAATATTAGAAGGCACTGTGGATACAATCCATTCTAATAGCTATGAGCACTTAAGAACCTATGTCTAGGTTCATTTTCCTCTAAAAAAAAAAGCTTCCACTAAATCCAGTATATAATGTATGACAGTAGTATTTTCTGCTGAATGGGTGTTTGATGTGGGTAAAGGACCCATAGACACAGACATCTTCTTAAGCACTCACCATTCCAACTGCTAGGGGCCTCTGAGGCATCTCCATGGAAGCTTTGCTTTGAAAATGTCAGATCTAGTCTTTCCATTTCATTTAAAGATATGAAACAGAATGAGGAAGGGAACTTGCATCAGTCAATGCATAGGTCAGTGGAAATAAAGGTGTGAGTCTGATCTCCTGAATCATTGTTAACTTGCCTCGGATAGTCTTTTCTTATACACAATTTAAGACATAAAAAAGTGTGGCTTATCTGTAGCTAATAGGTAAAATTTTTCTGGTTCTCTTTCTGAAAAATTGGTAAAAACTGATCTTGGACAGATTTCAACTGGCCATATTAACAACTGGTCACACTAAAGGTATCATTCAATAATGCCAGTTAAAGTTCTGAATAGCTGTGATACGCTTTTCCATAAAAATAACCTGCTCTTCACTAAGATCTTCATTACAAGGTATCCCTTTGGAAAACCTTCTCTTCTGAAACAAAGGAATACCATCTTTGTGTTGCCTATAAAATGGAAGTATTCCAAATCCTTCTGTCCAGTTGGTTGGGTATGGACAAGAGGAAAGACAAAAGTGGGCACAGCTTTCAGCTGTGTATTCTTTTGTTTTTCCATTGAACAATCTGACTTTCTCTAACATGCACTCTTGTTTTGTTATTGAGTTTCCTGTTTCAAGGTTGGGTGAATTCTCATATGGCCTGCTTGCTTCCATTGCAGGCATGAGCTCCATCTTTCAGGCTTATTGGAATGGAGAGGCATGAAAAAATCAAGAGGAAATGCCTTTGTACTGGATATGCATTAGCTAAATAAATAATGGAGTAATGGAATTTCCTCAATCTTCAGTCTTCTTATTATGTACCCTAGTTCTAAGGAAAACATACTTTTTCCCAACCAACAGGGGAATTATCAGAAATATATTAAAAATTCAGTTTAAAAATTAAGTATATTGATTCTGACAGCTCTTCAAAAATCATGGCACACATATTAGTGAAACCATTTGTGAACTGCTTAAATTCTAATGTACTTGATAATTGTGATTAGCAAATATAAATGAGTTTTCTTAATGTCTGACATCACAGTTATTTATCAAGGCAACACAATAAGCCTTGCTTAATTTATAAAATCTAAAATATTGAGTATTTACAATTGAGTATTTACAAGAAATGCTGTATATTCAAAATAGTACTTTTAAATTGAATTTTGATGACATTTTGGCATAACATTTATTAACAAATGCAGTTATAAAAAATCACATTCTGAAACTGACTTTATTAATTTCTCAACTTGAGAAATTTAAAAATTTCTTTTAAAGAAAATTGACTTTTAGCTCTTCTTTTATAGTAGTATTTACCCTGTACATATATAAACTATGTGTATTGACACAGCACTATATCTATTAAATACCTAAAAGAAAATAGCAAAAAAAAAAAAATTTAAATTAAACTTTAAAAGAAATTTTTCTCTCACTACATGAAATGCAAATACTTTAGATATGTTAACAACATATCTGTTTTATGAATATCTAATATTTTACTTTTCCCTTTGCTGAAATTCTGAACCTTTGGCTAAATTAATATTAACTTAATTAGAATGCACAATTTATAAAACTTACACCACTTCTTTTCCGATCATCGCACAATGATTAAAATACCATGACATTATTATATAGCACCAAAGGATTAGACACACAGATGAATAAGTGTTTGAATAGCACATAGCAGTATATAGTAAGGAAGTTGTAATCTGTGAAAAATGCTTAGACTTTCTAAGTTTTCACTGTGATGGAGATCACAGATTTTAGAAGTTACTGCAGAAAAGCTCATAAAATCTTAAGAATACATCTGACTCCTCTAGGATTTAACAAGTCTAGTGTCATCTTGCTGAAATAAAGACTCTCTATGATTTTTAATGACTTTATTGTAATATCATTTACGACCAATAAAATACACCCAGTTAAAGGATACACTTCAATGATTTTTGACAGATGTATGTGCCTAAGAAACTACCATCACAATCAAGATACAAAACATTTCTATCAACCTCTTGATCCTTTGCACGCCATTCTTTTCCCTTCAGTAGGCAACTACTGATTGGATCTCTATTACTATAAACCAGTTATTTATTTTCTAGAGTTTTATGCGATGGTTGTCATTCAATATGCACTTTTTTGTGTCTAACTTCTCTAGGAATAAGGATTTTGAGTTTCATTTATGTGGTCAGATCATTAGTTTGTTCCTTTCTCCTCACTGCTTGGTTTGAATCTCTGTGATTTGATCTCTACTATGTATTAACAGTAATATTTTTTAATATCTACTTTTGAGATTATTTGACAATCTCTACCTTTGACAGATGGTTTAATTTTCCTTTCAGTTCTTGAAGGAAACTAAACTCTTACAAGAAATATTTTTCTCTTTAATATTGATTAAAGTCTCTAAAGTGAGGTTAAAACACAGATAAAAATGCATTATTTATTTTAAATTGGTAGTTAGAATCCTAAATACTAAATTTAAACCCTAAATACTAAGATTCACTAAATACAAGGAGCTCTCACTTTGTATGGCAGTGCAACACTGCATAACACACTGGGAAATGTGAAGGTGTAAAAAGTTATCCTAATTGGTAAAAAAAATTAGATTGTTCCATTATCTTTATTTTTATTTTTATGTAGAAGAACTGGGGTACAGGACAGAGGTGTGGAGGGTGAGAAGATTCACCAGAGACAGAGTGGGGAGCAGAACAGTGGGATCTACTGAAACACGCTGCTAAAGGGAGGAATGGTCAAGCCAGGAGAGATCTGCTGAGTAAAATGGGTTAGCTACCTGGTGGGGGATCAAACTCAGGCCTTAATGGTGATAGCATTGAGACTTAACCCCTAGGTCACCAGAGAGGTCCTGTTCTATGATCTTTAATAATTTTTGTTAGAGCATTCAAAATTCTCTGTCATTTGTAAAGGTATAAGAAACTAAAACACAGTAAAATTAATATTTACTTAGTACACTGAAACAAATGTATAATAGAAGAAACACTGAGAATTAAAGTATTTTATTTCTTGGTTAAAAAAAATTATCAAGGATAGTTTGAACAGTGCTCGTCTGTCCTTCTCATATCACTTGTAATACGAAGCATGTTTCTTTCCCATGTTTTAGCCAAAGTCTTAAGTTCTTTCTGACAATTTTAAGTTTAGATTAGCTTCCAAAATTTTAGTCTTTGTGTTTTTAATGTTGTAAAATATCTTGAAAGTGTCCTACTCTGAGACTGGCTGTCAGTTCAGAATGGAGTAACAGATGAGGTGACCACTGGTGAACAGACTTTGAAAGAAGTGACCTATTTAAGTCATTGATCATGAAGCACTTGCATTATTTATGCAGAGATTTGTGGGCCAAAAAACTAGTAATAGAATTTGTATTTTTTGTGATTACCCACAGTTATTATATTGTAATTGAAAATTAAACTGTGTTACTAGGAAATGTTATTTAACTAAATCATGGCAGCTGAAATCCAGCATAACGAAACTGTGCAAAACAAGAACTGCTTGGATATGTATATGTGTGTGTTAATTTTTTTCTATAGCTGTGTGATAACCAAAATTACCATTTGCATTCTCTCTGCATTTGGTAAAGAATTCAGTATTAGAGAGTTACTTCATTTGAAATATGCATCCACTGCGTATCAAAGTAAATGTTTGTCAAGTTGAGTTAATTTGCATTTTTTGACTTTAAGATCAAATAAGTAAACTTCAATATATTATTGGCATATATGGTATTGAAGAGAATATTGAGGTTGTCTTATGTAGATTTAAATATAAACTCAAGTTTAATAAAATAAACAAGATATTAAAATGCAGAACAAAACACTTACTTTTGCAATTATTTCACAGCTAGACTCACAACTAGACTCACAGCAGCCCATTTTAGTGTTTTTCCATCTGGGAATTCAGAGAAAAATTAATTGTGATGACTTAGATTCCATGAAATCTGTCAATAAGAGCAGTATAAAGGAAATGGCCAACAAACTATATTTGTTTTATGAAAATACCAAGTTGTAATTTTCAGCACAGTGTAAATCTATTTTCTCTGCTTATTTTTGTATAAAGGTGAATAGAAAATCTAGATATTTGATATTATTTTACAGGTATGGAACTATGAAGTGAAATAGCCTAATAAGCAATTACTCAACAAACACTAGAAATAGAACAGCAGGGTTGAGACGCCTAGAGGCAGAAAGGAAAATATAGGTGAGGAGCCCAATGGACTGAATAAGCAAATAAACATGCACAGTTTTCATCCTAAGTGCAATAATCTATAAATACCCACAAAAATTTTTTTGCTGTTGTACAATTTTAAAGAAACATTTTCTTTCTTTCTTCTTTATATAGCAGAGAACGCTAAAACTTGTGGGTGGTGAATGGATAAAGCAGAAATCCCCAGCACAAAACAGAAATGCACATTTCTGACCATATGAAATTTTCTACTTCCAATTCAATGTCTGCATCTATATGGGGGGCCTTGTCTTCATGGTAGGGCTATAATACTTTATTATGAGTGTTTAAGCTGGATAGTAGTCAAGAGCATTGAATCAGAAAAGTCAACCAAAAACCAGAACAAGTCTCTCATTCTGACAGTTAGGGATTATATATTCTCCCAACATCTAACCCTCCAGTCAGTAATAATTCATGATGAAACATATTTAATGAGATATTCTACTTCTGAAATTTAAGGACAACAGACATTAGTACTGCTTTTAAAAATCAGAATTAACTCTAATTTAACAGCATGTAAAACTTGTTATGAAATTGACTTTAAATTCTTTGTTATTCACTTCCTGATATTAGAATCCTAGCACTCAGAATACAGACTTCTTTTTAAAATAATGAAATGTGCATATTGATTTTTACCTATGAGAAACAGCCCATTCCCCTCAATCTGTTTAAAATAGAAACTACATCAAAGACAGAAAATATAAATCCCCAATACCACTGATAAGTAATACTTCAATTTAAATGTATTTAAAACCAGATCCATTCCACTACACAAGGACTCATGATAAAAAGCAAATAACTACATTTTTAAATCATAGTTATCCTTAATTTGAGGTGGCATATAAATTGACCAAAGGCAAGTTGTTTTTAGTTAGCAGAGTTGTTTTTGGTTACTTCTTGCAATATTTTTGGCTTTTTATTCTATTTTTACATTTTCAGATGCATTTTGACCCCAGTTCTTTTTAACCTTTAGCTACTTTTACATTTAAAGAGGTATCTTGATTTAAAGCTGATACTTGCAACATTCAAAGTCTTCACTATAAATTCACTTCCTTTACTTGCTCTCCAGGAATATTCTGCTTTTCCAGAATAACAAAATTTAATAATCTCTATGTGGAAGGGAAACCCTAAAATATCTAAAGCTTTTTGTTTCAAGCATTTAGTTGCATGAGGTTATATAGAGTATAATCATTCAGCATGCGGGCTCTGAAACCAAAGTACATGGACCTGTTCCTACAAATACCTATTGGAGTAGGTATTTGGGCCTATTCAAAGTCCAAATTCTTATTGCAGCATTTAGTAACTGTAAAACTATAGAAATGATTTACCCTGCCAATGCCTGGTCCTTTCATCAGCAATAGAAGTGACAGAAGTAGCCAACATGTGGCATTTGAAAGAGGTGATGTGAAACTTTTCCTCATACATTATGTTCAATAATGCTAGTTAGTATTATTACAATTGCCACTGTTGTTATCATTAAATATTTTGCATCTGTATCTCATTTTAAACCTTCATTCACAGAATCCATTGTGAAAGAAGGTTTTATCAGACTTGACCAACCACTTACAAATCATTTACTTAATAACACATGTGGCTATCCCTAGAGTTCTAGACCTTTCCCACAAAACCAGATATGGTTGGAGATGAAGTATTTGAAAATATATTCTAATACTTTAAGAGACTTTTGTTTTCTTTCTTTCTTTTAAGAAACTTGAAGTTTATTACACTAGTTATTTTCCAAATAGGGTCTGAAAATCACTTATCCAATTAGCCATTATGAATATTTGTCAGTTGTTTCTATGGAAACAACTTCATCATATTACTCAAAATAGACACTCATTTATGTGCCTATTTCTGCGCTATCTAGATGTCAGCTGTGACAATTCTGATAACAGGAAGAATTCCTTATTTTTCGGAGAATGTCTATTGGTTACCGAGTCCTATCTTGTAAGTACTTATATAGAGAAACTCCCCAGGTTTGGTCCTCAAGAATTTCAGCTCTAGCGCAGTGGTTCATTGGAATATCCTGAAAGTGAAAGTCCTAGTCCACTCACAGAATCTCAGAGTCCCTGGGGATAAGACCCAGGTATCAGCATCCTTAAAATTCACCAGGTGTCTCCAAAGGACATGTGATTCCGAGTGCCCCTGACTCTTAGTGTAATCAGCTACAAGTATTTCTTTTTAAACCTTGAAAGATGACCATAGATATGAGGAATTCAGGAAGGAAAGGGTAGGGGGAAGGGGTGAAAACAGAGGGGAAAGAGCACAGGGGACTATGGTGATGGATCACAGATGCTTCGGTGATGGGAGAACGATGGTGACCACGCCTGAGGGGAAAATCATACTGTCCAAAAATTAACAATAATGCAAGAAAAAAGTACTTCTTTTAAAAATAAACTAACTTTTTAAAAATCCACTTTAGGGCATCCCTGGTGGCGCAAGGGGTTAAGACACAACCTATGAAGCTATCTGCAGCCACTGCACCACACCGTGAGTTCGATCCCCGGCCAGGGAGCAACCCACATGGTGCAGCAGACCTCTCCTAACTCACCCGTGGCTCCCCTCAGCAGTGTATTTCAGTCAGTCTGCCTGTTCTGCTCCCCAGTCTGTCTCTGGTGAATCCTCTCACCCCCTGCACCTCTGGCCAGTACCCCAGTTCTTGTATGCATAAATAAATAAATCTTTAAAAAATAAATAAATAAAAAATATAAAGCCACTTTAGTTTTCTATAAGATACAATATGCTATAATTACACATATGAAGGTGACAATTCTGTTAAAAATAGAAGTTATGCTAAAAATATCTCCCTATTTTCTGTGAGATGGAGTTCTCATTTGAAATAATTACTTCTTGTAGGTCACTCTGAATTCTCTATAAGAACATAAAATGAACACTTTTTAAGCAATGCATTGTGCACTAATGCAACAGAACTTTTTTTACATTCCAAAGTTCACCATTTCATGCAATAACTCATCATCATGTAGAAAGTGGTGGTCTCAAGTAGAACTCTAAAAGTTGTATTATTTACCAAAATATCAGGAGACAAAAGCATAATCACTTCAAGCACCAATCATTCTTTTCTTTTGATCAACTATAATCAAGAATCCTGTATTAGAATTTCTCATTCTATGTAGTTGAGCATATAAAACTCCCTCTTCTTTTCAAACTCACATTGGTAGAAAAAAGAAATCATGCCTCAAGTTTAAAGACAAAACAGTATTTTATAGAAAGAGATAATCTTATTTTGGCTAGACTTCTATTTTTTTCATATGAATTAAAATTTTAAATCTTCAAACATTTGATATTTAGAGTGAATTAGTCATGTGCATATATTGTCTAAGTATGTAATTTTCCAAAATAATGTTTCAGATGTAACTTTCAGCTGAGTATTTAAAGTCAATTTGGTTGATTTTCCTCTTGGTTGTAAAATGTTTCATAATGAACTCACACAGTTTCTGATATAATATCAATCCTTTTTTATAATAAATATTTAGTCAGCATCTGGCAGATGATAAACAATTTATCAGGCTTCAAAAGATGTTAAAGATGAGTGAACTTTGTAGCTCTCTCAAAGTGCTCAAACTTTTGCATACATAGTTTTATTAAAAAACAAAAACCTTGAAAATTCAATATTGAATTCAGTTTTAAAGTTATAATTTTGTTTGCAAATATGTCACCTTGTGTAATTAGTATGACTTGTTGGACTCCTGGCAAAGGCATCATAGTGCAGTCATCTTGGAAGTAGACTGTTCTTTACCCTGGCCTGTCCAGATGCTCAGAAATTAATCAGGGCAGCTCTTTATATTCTTCTTGATGACCTCAGTATTTTTATGTCCACTTTATTGTACTTATGACAAAAGCCTTTCCTCTCCCTTACTTTCTAGCAATCTTTTATATAAAGGAATTGACAAGAAAGATCATATTATAAAAATATGACATATAATAAAATTATCATTGTCTTAGGATGAAATAATAAGCCCAGGAACCAAGGCCAAACTAATGGTTGGATTAGTGATGTAGAAGTTGTGGAATGATTGCACAAGAAATTTTTTTTAAGTTATCTGAATATCCTTTATTATTTATATCATATAAATAATATATATTATAAACAGTCTCTGGAATATTTTTTAAATAGAATCACAACTATTCACACTAACAACAAATACTAGAAAGTTGATTAGAGAACTGTGACTACCAGAGGGGTGGAGGGAGGGGCAAGAACAAAGTGGGGAGAGAGCACAAAGGATTATGGGGATGGACTGCGGGTGAGTAGGTGATAGGTGTGGTGTAGTAACACCCACCTATACCTCTAAAACATAAGCAAGGAATATAAACCAATGCTAACTCAATAAAGATTAAAAAAAAGAAACAAAAGAATCTTTTTTGAGGTGAACAAATGATTCCAAAATTGACAGTGGTAATGGTTGTACATGTCTGTGACTATTCCAAAAACCAAAGACTTATACACCTTTAGTGGGTGGATTGTATGGTACGTGAATTATACCACAATAAAGCTATTAAAACATACAAACAAGAAAGAATCACATGCCACCAGCCTCTGTGGCTGTCACCTGCAGCCTTGATTGTGTTGATGCAGAGGGCACTTGGGAGCATGGGTGTGGGGGACACATGTCTAACTGTGGACACCTGCAGCATGGGTGTGGGCATGTACACCTGAGCCTAGAGGCCAAATCTATAAGGGTGGCATCACTAAGAAGACTGCTAGAGAGGACAGCTATGAGGGCATGATTGATTACCAAGAGGCCATGAGACCATGAGAGAATGCCAGGGAGAGCCCAGAGAAAGAGTACAGATACCTGTGGGGGCTGGGAGGCTCAGTTGCCTGCCAGCCTCCCAGCGCCTCCACCCAACCCTTGCCTGCTTTCTTGCATTCCAACCTCCCAGCCTGGTATGCCTGTGTACCTGGTTCCCTGAGAATATTAAAGCCTGAAAAATCCACTGAGAACTTCAGGAGTCTCCTTTATCCATCTGCCGGAATCAATAGTGATCCTTCCCTGTGCCTAGCTGCCCCAATTCACAGGCCATTCAAAAATCACAATGGTTTTCATTCATATGACTTTTTAAAAAGAAGAAAATAATACAGGTCTATGGAAATGGAAAAGAGTCACATTTTCATGTGCAAAAATTCTTATTAGTAATGTTACAGCTTAATAGTTCTTTTAACAATGAGTCTGTAATAAATATGATCAAAAAGTTAAAACTAAATTCAGTTTCATTGGAAAATGATAAAAAATTATTTCTGTAAGTCTATACTGTTTCCTATTATCTTTTTGTTTCTCATAAATTCCAATATCTTATATAAGTACCTGTAGTTAAAAAATATTCTTCAAGTTCATTGAATGGAGAAATTTAAATAAATAAAAAAAAAACTGGTTTTGGTTCACTTACCTATTTTCACACAGATACTGGGAGAGAGAACATCTCTAATTCCGATTCTCCATGTATAGCAAATCAAACTAGAGAGAAGGCATTAAGTAAATGTTAGTATTCTTAAAACAGTGGTTTTCCTTCCGTATCTACTTTCAAATTCTTTTCTAAAGGAAATTTACTAGATTCTCCTAAAAGCAAGTCATTCTGTACACTTTGCCTAAAGCATATCTGTAGCTTTTTTTTTATTTTCAACAATTTAATAGTGGAACAACCCCTAACAGTCTTTTCTCTAAAATATATAAGTATTTCGTTAGTATAGTTGCATTTTAAGCATAGCCAAGAATCTACCTAAACAAAGTATTACCCTAGAATTTTTTATTGTTGGTCTAGAAATCATTTCAGATAAGTGAAAGCAAAGTTCCACTTGTGTCAATATAGAGAAGAGAAATTATTTCAGTTAGTCTTTGCCATTTCTTACAATCTTCACTTCCTTGCAAGCTTCAATAACTCAGAATATACTTCATTATAGAGGGTGGTGCCAATGTATTAGTTTCCTCAGATAACTATGGATGCCCAGGTGGTAATGGACATTAATAAAACCAAACAAGTGGTTCAACAATCATTAAATTTATCTCTGCTCTTTTTTTTAAATTAAAAAGTTTTATTTGCATTAAAACACATATGTATATAAAGTCCAGTAATATTTCAAAGCTTAAACCAAAAAGAACAGTTTTGCCTCCTCCTCTAAACATATACATAAACATACACACACACACACACACATATATATACACACACACACATATACACATATATTTCCTACTATGGAAGATCTGACACTCAGTGAACAGAATCAGAACCTTTTTTTCTATAATGAATTCATAGTGATAATTCTGTTCCAATGTAACATCACAGGATTGTTTCTCTTCTTCTCCCATTCCATATTTGTATCTTTCTTTTCCTAAGAAAGACCTGTTTCCCAACAATACTAATTACTACTACTAACAACTTCTTAAGTTTATATTTTCTTTGAGTTATTTTTGTTCTTAATACATTACACAAAAGGTATATAATCAGAGTAAAAGTTACTTGGCTTAATTATATTTTCCTTCTGTATGGTTGTCATTTATTTATTATGTAATTATAATTCACTCTGTATTCATTTTTTGTTTTTTCTCCATCCTATTGATTTTTAAGTATTTGAATATATAAGAACATTAGCATTGTTCAAAGTAAAAATAAAATATAAAAAAGCATAATTAGGCATCTCCTTCCCTCCCCTCTCTCTTCTATTTCCATCTACCCTATCAGTAGCCAGTCCTGTCAGTACCCAGTTTCTTTAGTTTCTACTTTATTTTCCATGAGTTTCTTTTTTTTTAATATATTTTTTAAGATTTTATTTATTTTTTTAAATAAATTTTATTTTTATATTCCCCATACAATTGCAACCCCCTTATTTTGACCCCAATCCCTCCCCTCCCCGCACCCCACCCCCTATAAAGTGTCTCTGGTTCATAGTTTTTTGTTGATTTTGATTTTCACTTTCTTATAGTTATTCATTTTTCTGGTCCCTTATTTAAGTTTTCTAGTAGCGCAGCGGAAGCATGCTGGGCCCATATCTCTGCTCTTTTTAAAATGTCACAGAATATTTAAACTTGAAATGACTTAAAAGTGCTTTGGACTTTTCTCTGAGGAGAAAGCTTTGTCCTTTTGCATAACCAGCACCTCAGAGTTGACATTGTGCAAAGAGTGGAGTTAAAACTATTACACCATCTTTTCAGACTAAAATATTTTCTCTTGATCTTTCTTGTGTGGACAACCACGGCCATGGCAATACATTACTACATGATTCAAGATACAGTTTTACCAGGAAATAAACCAAGTCTTTGGCAATCCTGCTGTAGACTGTACCTGAAAATTAATTTAAAGCCATTCAGTAATTGGACATATGTTTGCGAATATCTTCCTGAGAACATGTTTTTAGAAAAACTATTATTCCATAATAAAGTTGGATCTTTTAATTTTTTAGACCCAGGAAAATGCTTTCCCACAGTTACACAAAAATTTGAAGAGTTGATTTGTATATAAAAAAGGAAGTCTGAAGTCTCAAGTGTCATAAAGTGATGCCAACCAAGAAATTACATTTCCCATTTTATTTTCCGAATAATAGCTACATTTATAGAGAAGTTAGCATGCTCCAGTTAGAAAATAGAGAACATGAGAAAATTAATGACATCCAAAAAATTGAAAATAGGAGAAATTCATTAAAATAATGTCTACACTTATCTACCCTTCTATGAAAATATGCTATTTAAAATCATTTTGAAAAAAGCACTTGATTGAGAGATTAAAAAAAACCTGAAAGATCTTCATTAATTTAAAAGCCATGATGATTTTCACAAAGAACAGTTAAATCTGTATTTTAATATCTTTTTAAAGGGTAAGAGAAAAATATTATAAATCCCAGTTTAAAAAATATTTAAGGAAAACTTTCACATGCACTCCTTAAATCACATATATTAATCTACCTATCCCTCTGTTATTATTGAGAAAATATTCATATTTCTACATACCATTAATATATTTAATCCCTCCTTGTCTACTCAATTTCCCTTTCTTTAGCCATATTATTATGTTTTCATCTCAATTAGAGCTTTATTCATTGCACTTAAAAAATCTGAAACAGGGCCTCCCCGGTGGCACTGCAGTTGAGCGCTGTACTGCGAAGCTGCCCGCAGCCTCTGCAGCGCTGGTTTGATCCCCGGCCACTGGCGAAGATCCCACATGGTGCACAGACCTCTCCTGCCACCCACTGCTCCCCTCAGCAGTGTACTTCATCTGTCTGCCTGCACTGCTCTCCCCTCTGGCTCTGGAGAATTCTCACCCTCACACACTTCTGACTGTGCTTGTATAAATAAATATTTTTTTAAAAAAACCTGAAACAATAACCATTATATCAGAATATGTACTTGTGCCCATGTTCTGCTCTAGTTCATGGCCCACTTCTTGCATCCACATACAATTAAGCTACTTGGTTTTATTTGTTACCCTTCATTTATTCTTTAAGCTAATATATTGTCTTTTTCCATACCACTACAACAAACAGCTAGTGTCAAGGCCAACAGTAACCAACACGTTGTTGAAAACAATAGATTTATTTCTGAAAATAACTAGTTACTTATTCCATCCAAAACCCTTTTTTCACTTGGGTTTCAAGACATGAGTTTCTCTGGATTCTTCTCTTACCTCATGAATAAAATGTTAATACCTTTAAGGTAATTATTTTTAAAATCGTATTTTTTAAATCTTATTCACAGAAACATTGAAAAGCTTGCATAAGATTTCTTTTAACATTATGTTTTAAAGTTATAAGACATGTTGTAATTAAATATTACTACACATTTTCTTTAAATCAAAGATGCAATATCTTTCTATTAGCTGATTGAAATATTTTGTAAGTCAGCAGTTGAGAGCTTTATGTTGAAATTATGAGTTTTTCTGAAGAAGTGAAATCCAATAATTTGGAGGTTAACTTTGATTAGGTAAAAAAAAATCTTCCAAGTTATACTATTTTTGTAACAAAAATTGTGTATTTTCCCCTAGTTTGTTGTGTTACAGAATATTGGGGGCATTTTGACCATTAAAGTGAGTTCCTTCTAGCTACTAATTGTTCCTTTAAACACAATATAACTAATTATTTGTTATCAAATATATTGGTTGCTTCCAATTTTTTTCTAAGTACTAGCTTTTTTTTTTATATCAATTGAATTTGCAATCACAACTATTCATTCAAGAGAAAATAAGCCTTCAGATTGAAAAATAGACCAATTAAAAGTCAAGTTCATTTAGACATTTAAACCTCAAGGACAAATTAAACTTTGCCAATAATATTGAATTAAGGGCAATAATTTTTTGGCAAAAAAAGTAATATTGTTAGGCTTACAATAATTGTGGGTCAGATAAAATTTGTGTTCTCTTTTATCTTTATTTTCTATAACATTTTAAATAAATATTCTTGCAACTTATCTGAATGTAACATTGCCAAAAACAAGCTAAATTTTGTCTCAAGTTTGAAAGAAATATTATTTTCAGTACAATGAATATTCTGAAAAAACTATTATCAATTCTATTTTTCATTAAAACTATCCTGCCAAAATTCCTTTCCAGGAGTTTCAATTTTCTTGCAAACTTTCCATATATTGGAAAAATACTATAAAACCTATTGCTATAATAAAGAAGCCTTTGGTAAATCTTAGAACAATGTTTAAGTGTTTGGTAAAATTAATAATCTGACAGATGTTAGCTCTAAAGACAAAGACTATCTTTCCTTTATCTATCTAGTCCTATAATTCCATATGCCCCAGTAAACATATTTACAAGAAAGAGTAGCTTTTTGAAAAATGAAATTTTATAGGAGAGAAGATGGAGAGTTAATTTGGTCATAAAAAGATCTGTAAATATTAAGTCTATAATTCTCAATGAAGAACTTATTTTAAGTGGATAAGTAGCTTAAAACTATATATACCTTTCATGACATTCCATTTTAGAAGAATAATGAGATACTCCTTGAAAGATGTTGAGAAAGTCTCTTTTGAGGAACAGAACTACTGAAGAAAATGTACTTCCAACAGTTTTGCCTTTTAATTTCTAGCTTCTTTATTACCAGTATACATTTAGCAAAATACATTTCTTGCTATAACTGAGAACATAACCATAGGAGGAATTTCTCTATTGACTGTGGAAAAATACAGTGTCTCTGATTAAGCTAATTCAAGAGGGGTCTTTTCACCATGTAACTATTTCAAGTGATAGTTCCTTTGCCAGATATCTCCATTTCCTGAGCATAGTTAATAATAACTAAAGGTATGCTACCTATGGTTTTAAATTTTGTAGAACAGAACTAAATTTTGTAGAAACAGAGAACTTAATTACTACACACTAAGTATAAATATTTTTCTTGTATTTTCCCAAGCAAATGTTCAAATGTGGCTAAATTCATTTATGCTTCAAACTGACCGTATCAAATATAATCACTGCTGGGCCTCCCATGGTGGCTGGGCTTTTGAGCACTGGGCTGCGAAGCTGC